CAAGAAATTAACTCTACAACCCACCGAGAAACCGGAAACACGTCACTGTATTGAGAATAACAAGGACAACATGGTGTTCTGATGCGGTCATGCCACAGAGTAAGAGACACACGCCGATCACTCTGGCTGACGCGTTAGCAATACATGACTGCACTTCAAATCGATTCGACTAACCGCTGCTTCATAATCAGCATAAACCGCAACATAAAATAAGCTATATCTTATCCAAAAACGAGATTTCGCGGCGTACCGCACTCTTTTCTTAGTTGCCTCGGACAACAGAGGATGGGAGAGATAGGGATTTAATGAAGCCAGGACTACATGGTAGTTGGGCATTTGCACTTCCAGATTCATCTGATACCATTTTGTTCGCTAGAATATTGTCAGATACATGTAACTCATAAAAGACCACCTCCAAACGTCTAAGCAACCAATCAAAAATTAAAAATAAGGGCAGAAGATACCAAAACTAGCCTAATATCAACATGAGAGCCAAACATAAGATAAGCAACAACATGGATTGAGGACGCAAATTAACATTCTCGCAGGTTTTCAAATATAACTTGCCATTAACCCAGCGAATTAGACATCACAAACTATTGACGCCTACTGGTAAAATAGACAATGTAAATTACCCACGCGTTTCGATACCGCACATATGGTTATCATCAAGGTAACATTACTCGTGTAAACGAAAAGTTTTATCGTCCCTGATGCCTTGAACCACGAGTCCAGAACGAAATAACTGCAATTCAAACAGATAATGAATCGATAATTCGAACCACTTTAACAAGGTTTCACTTGCCACAATAATTCATTAGTAGACTCGAAGAAAGATAGATACGGCCTCAGATAAGATTTCAAACAACATCGGAAATTTTTTCACATTTACATGTTCAACGACAGAAATATTTTTATATAAAGTCAAAAAATCAAACCTCTGTCTTGAACACCTTGGATGTTGCCCATGTCGAAAATAACAGCTCTAGACACAACCACTACGATGATGATTCGAAAGCTGCATTTTTCTGAACCTTAGTATCGTTTATGCCATATAACTGCATAACCACGGAAGCTGGAGAGACCAGTAGTCAGTGAAATGTTTCCTCGCCTTGTCTTCGTAGTACAAATATGTTGAAGCAAGACACACAGAATCAACTGGAACGTTTCCGGAGACGCCTAAAGTCAAATGAGACTGTGCAAATCCTGAGAATAGTCTAAAGCAAAGGTTTAACGGTCTAATTTTAATGGTCATTAAAATCAGCGACACTTCAAAGTCGACGATTCGAAAATGGCGCTGAAACGGTAGAGAAATGAAAATTCAGAAGTTCAAAACAGGGGAAATAAAATCTTCCAGTAGTCATCAAAAATGACGGACGAGTTTCAAGAGAAATAAAGGATATTAGAATTAATACCAGTGCATATTACTTCACTCACCTGTCATCGACTTTGTTTCTTCTGCAACAAAGAACAATCTAGAAGCCTTTCATAACGCACATGAATGACAAGGTTTACAGAAACCGACCGTCACGTTCAAGCAGGAACTAACAATTCAGAGATATACTATTATGTACAGAAAAAATTAACCCATTCTGAAAATATTCCAGTATTTCACCGTCGATTTTAAACTTGTAAAGAAAGTGAAACGAGAATTAACTTGCAGCAGATCATTCTTTACTAAAAAATAAAATTTCTAGAAAATCCAATCAAGCAATGAACAATCCCTTATTTCATCCGATCTACGAATGTCTACACTACTTTTGGGAAATTGATTAGTCTTAATGAGAATGACGGTAACCAATTCTGCAAGCATACTGACGCTGTACTAGTACGAATTTCTCACTTACAATTAAACAGAAATTATTGATCTTGATATTAGCTGCCTGAACCTTAGAAATATTTCAGCAATTTGTCCGAAACGCGAAAACTTCATAGGTGCGTGGATGGTAATGATAAACAGCAGCGTAAAACACAGTATAATGAAAAATAGCGCAAAAAATGACACTGTCATTCGGTGACCTTCTGATTCCGAAACAGTTAACTGCTGCGGACGATCACTGAACTTCGGCAAACTAAACCCACTCACGTTCAAAATGATCCATGAGCCAAGGGCCAAAAGTTACCTTTTGTCAGGCATCAAATTGACAGATATTTTTTGTTTTGTATTTTTAAATCGTTTTTATCCTATGCAGTTTACAGACAAATAAAACTAGATCAATCGGAGGCACACGAAAGCTTCATAGAGCGAATAGCGGTTTTTCTTGCTGCCCGGCTCTACTCCGCATCCTGCCAGTCAAATATTGAGTTATTGTATCACAGTCATTTCACGGAATTTTTATTTCATACATAATATGTTCCAAAGCGAAGGGATTAGTTTATTTCATTCAATATTGAATTTGGGAGGCCAGATTCGTGGGACAATCGACAAGTTGACTTAACCTACACTATAGACAAATATTAGTTTAGTTCGGTCACACATGAATGTGTTACGATCACTACTATACTCTAATTGAAGAGCCTTTTAAGGTCGAAACTCGCAATCACCGAAATGAAAATCGACTGCTGATTTAACAATCAGGACTTGTTTTAGGCTTTATTTTCGCTGCCATTGAACTGAGTTAACGTCATAGCATGTGGGTTTGCAAGATCAATTTCAGCGTGTGTAAATCTGTTCCATATGCTGCTCATAGCGTTTTCCAAGAACTTTTTCTAAAATCTGTAGATATCAGACAACGACATTATGAAGTAATTTTATAGTGCAGGTAATACCGCTCGAGTAGAAAATATTTTACATAAGAAATTTCACTCTAGTATAAACAGTGATTTGAAATTAAAATTTGTAGACATTTGTATATTTAAAAATGTACTCTGAAAAAATTCGGTTTATATCCTGTTCAACTATCGTTGAAACTTTCAAAAATACCAGGCATTCTTTCATACCAACGTGGCGAAACGCCTTTCGCTCAAATCTTTTTTACCCCACAATGCGCTGCTTATGAGCTTCATTTTAATATTACTTGCTCTTCTACGGAGTAGTTTAAATGGTTGTACTGCGGCAACGTTAAATTGCCATGAAGACGACATGGATTCGCCACATTTTGCGGTTAAATTGTTGGTCTCTAATTTCTGCTCGCGTTTTGTTACAAATTCATCACTAATTAGCTTCAAGAATAAACGCACAAAGCATTTCTGATGCGCTCTATTGGATCATTTTCGTTTAAAAAAAACTACATGAGATAATCATAAAATCGACACCTGCAACGTATTTTCAACTTCAATCAATAGAAACAATTTAATTCACTAAATCTTGGCAGTTCTACCGTCTCTATACAATGGAGAAAAAAGATTTAACAACCGGTCAAAAATCAGTATTAAATAAATGAAACAAATAACAGGAGAATACACCGGAATAACATTGAAAATCGAACATCAAATAGATTGCCAATGTCAGCCGCGGGAAGTGTACTACTGGGGTTCATCTCCACTCGGCAATAGCAACCTTGAGCGAGTGCTGAAGTAAAGGGAAAATCGCGCTTTAGCGTATTCCTGAAAAAGATCATTAGAGAAGAAACAAATAGTTACTAAAATCCACCTTGTATCCGAATTCAATTTTGGATGTTTCACAATGCAGAAGCGACCAGACGGCCCAAAAGAAGTGAGACACGGGGACAAAACAAGATATCTCTTGACACATGGCATCGATCATCTGTTCTGAGATGCTAACTCCTAGCGCCTCGAAATAACTGGTGCAAAACTCTCGCTGCTGTTCAGTAGTTGGGAGGTCATCGCTAGAGATGACGAAATAAGGCCACTTTTCGCCACCATAAGCGATCGACCATTCACAAAAGTGGTTGGCAATGTCAAAAGCTCTGAAACATGGAGAAACTCTCAATTTACAAAATAACAACAAAATCTATACTTGGCGACGCGATGAATCAATTCTTAAATGTCCTAAACAAACATACGTCTGTATGCGTTTTGAAAAAATTCTTCTGGCTGTGCTCCCTTAACCAGAATATAAAAGTTTGTGAAAGCTAACCTTGCTTTAAACTGAGAAAAATAACGACGACAGAAATCGGATGGTCACACGGATGAGGGAATTCAGACATATGTAAAAAATCAATGCTGAGAAAAAATCAGCAGTGGAATAATGTGTGACGAGAGACTACCGGTTCCTTCAATCCCTGTTTCTCGCAACAGACAACCACCCGAGGCCGTTGCACAATGCACAGCACTTTGTACAGAACCGAAACACATCGCCAAACGCGTGTAACAATATCGAAATGCGACCCGATGATCAAATGGTGAGTCTGAAGCAACCAAAGTACTTCCAACTTACATACTAAAACGCATCGTGCTCACCTGAAGTTGTACCCAGCATACTCGAAGTCAATAAATGTGACGTCGGACAGATGCTCAGGAAGCATAATATTGCCTAAACAAAGACAGAATTAGCAATGCAAATCTAAACAGTTACCGCATCATGATTTCAGCATCAGACACCGTTTGCAAGGTGCAATTACTAGCCTACTTTTTCAAGATTCGTAGCGCTGACGCTCTTTGCTAAAGAGTAAGGCTTTCGATCATAATCGCTGAAGCACATTGTGCAACAGATTTCTTGCACTGATGTCAAAAGCATCTAGTTTACACACTTTCCGGAATCGGTTATCAGTAAACTTTTGAATTAGCGGGTCAAATGCATTAGATAAATCACACGGGTCTCCCTGGAATGAAAGGCAGCCAAATGAGAGAAAGAATAAGCCTGGCAGTGAAAACACTATGTCGTTAAAATCAGACTAAAAATTATTCAGTTTCATGTTCTGATTTCACACTCTCCTGTCAACAATAGATATGATAGATCTTATGTCACATCTATTAATAACGGCACAAAACACAAAGAAATATAAAATTTTCTCAATCGACAAATCCAAACTTTAATCATAAAAAAAACCCCTTCGAGCAAATAACAACACGTAGTATACGAACAAACTACATTGGGGCAGATACTCTTTCTCTCTGTGCATCTTGAAGGCATATCATAAAATAACAGAAAAATGAACTGCGATACCTACGAGTGAGAGATCATTTTATAACTAGAACGAAAATCTGCCTAAAAGATTAATAAACGATTTTTCAATGAATAACCAGGGTGGTATTCTTATTCCAGTAAGCATGATACAAACGGTGTGAAACCGTACATGCCATTAAAAAATATATATATTCTTTGTGTACATTTGTTATCGAAAATCGCAAGTAGTTAAAATGGTAAAACCTTTCATAAATTTCTAAAATTTAAAATGAAACTTTACGACATGAACAACAGCATTCTCAGGTTTAGCACTTGTAACAGCATATTATTTTTGAATGTCATTAACCAATAATACCTTCTTGCAAGTCGTTGTGACAGAATACCATGTCATGATTTATTCTCCACAAAAAGTTCCTAAAATACAATCAATACATTGAAAAAAAACAAAATACAGCAAAATAGGTAATAATAGCTGTGCAATATTAAAATTCCCACCTGCCCGCTAGCAACGGATTTTCATGACATATCGAAAGACAGGAACTTACACAGTTGAAAGGTTTCATTGAAATTCTTAGACAGCTCTTCTAATTTCTTCAACAAATTTATTCTTCGTCACATTACAGCACAGGAATTTCACATTTAAAGTTTACTACGTAATAAGTTTAGTCTCGAGTTATACTCAATTTACTTTCAATTGAAAGGACATTAAGCCGAAACCGCATACTTTGGTACAATACACCTGACAGAGTGTTAATTGGACGCAGATTTCCTCAACATTTGTTCTTCTGCTGCAACAGGGAGTAAGGAATGACTTCCAAATACTGCTCCCTTACAAATAAATTTTCAAAACGGAATAACCGTAATGCAATCAGTTACAATCAATAGAGAGTACCTCATTGTCACGATCAGCGATAACTCGGCCATCATCGTCGCGCACCCGCGACGTTACCAGCCACTAAACAGACGACCAGGGATCAATGAGAAAGACTTACGAAAGAAGAGGTACAAGCATGAGACGACAAAAAATGCGTCAAACAGATATGGACGTAATTGGGAACATGGAATCGATATCAGTGACAAAGTCAGACTCAGAAAATACTCATCAGACGTATACCATTTTTATCATATTGGTAGTTATGATTACTAAGATCTTTATCATCATCTCTAAAATGACGGCAATGAAGATGTCAAAGAAATAGACGACGGTGATGATCTGATTAGGGCGAAACTTATGTCGAAGTTTTAGTGGATAAGAAGCTGGATGATGATAATGATAATCAGAACTATCAACAACATGATAATGAATGTCACTCTCATTACGATTATATTCCGCAAGACGATTATCACCGGTTTCCTTATCTTCTTCAAAACAATCTTGATCGCAATGTCAAATTCATAACTGACAACAGTCCATCAACGTCGTCATTGCCACTGTCATTATTTACTTCAAGACAATTAACCTAACATTACCTATGTATTGCATAAAGCAGTAGAAACCGAATTGATAACTGTTAAATTGCACTGTTGCGAAGTTTTTGGCCTAAACTGATTTTCCTTTTGTTTTGCAAGTCAAGAGCCTCGGCGGTGTGAGTAGAATGCATCTCACCGATTACTAGGCCCAGCCGATAATCGGTGATAAACCGCGCCTGAAGCAAGATGCTCGCCATTAATGCGGTTTCAAGTCTTCTCCATCCAGGCGCGGTATTCAAGGCTCATGTGCAATCTTGCCACCATGGTGGTGGGCAAAAAAAACAGTCAAGTCTGCCAGTAGGGACACAAATCAACGATCATCGTTGACCATCTCCCTTCGGTGAGTCTACACATGTGCTCGGACCATCGCAGCTTCTCCTTGCTGTTTCTGACGATGACATCCTCCCTCCTCCCTAGTCCACTGACTGATTACCGATTTGGTAACACAGCCATACACTGTCATTCCTACATTTTCATTTCTAGAGCTACCTCAGTGACCGTTAACAGGCGCTCTTCAGCTTTAGCGAGTGACCACACTTCACAGCTATACAGCATTGCTGGTAGGACGGTAGAGCTGAAGAATTAAACGCGGATTTCTTTCCTCATGTTGCCGAAGAGGACGCCCATGAATGGGATGGAACGTGCGCCAACCGGCCCTAGTTTTTCGTTGATCTTTCCGTCTGACCATGCGGCATATTAATCTCATGCTCCAAGTAAATGCATCTATCGACATCTTCAATCGCTAAATATTAACTGGGCCACCGGCAGGCATCTGATCATCTTTAACCGATTAACTCGCAGTGTGAGTTCCGCATTTTTCCTGTACAGCATTTGCAGCATTTACTGTAGCTGACTCGCTATTTCGTGAAACAGCACTGCGTCAACAACTGTTCACTACTGAGGATAATCACACCAGATCTCTTCCAGCAATACCATTCATAAATAGGCAGAAAAGAGTTCCGGAAACTCATTCCCTTTGCTTCACGCCTTTCTCACGGCAATATAAGCAATGTGATGCTTAGGAAACAGCCAGAGAGCAGGTTGATGGAACTAATATCGATGCGCTGTTCTGTCAGTGCGGTTCACAATGAGTTGTATTCGACAGTGTCAGACGCTTTCTCATGGAGGAAGAAGGTGTTGCATAGACAGAGCCGGAATTCCCTTGCACATTGGAGGAGTTGATCTAAGACAAAAACGTAAACTGATGTGCTGAAGGTCCATCAGAACCTAGATTCTATTGGCTGTTGCACGTCTAGATCTGCTGACAGTCTGCTGATAATAATCTTGGCGAAGAACATGTAGATCTGCGAAAGCAGACGGGCTGGATGACAGATTTTCCGATTCGCCGTTTTGGAAAAGTATTGTTATTTTCGACTCCTTCCAGCATGATGGTATCTCCTCTTTTTCTACGAAGCACCACAAGAGCCCTCCAATCGTGAGACCACCTGCTCTGAGAGATTCTGGCAATTTCTCCGAGACTCGTTCTTGCCTCATTTTCTGCAAGGCGTTCTGAACTTGACTAATGAGAACTTAGAGAGACTAATGAGTTCACTTCATTCTGGCAATTGAAGTGATAATGGGGAACGCCCATCTTTGACGTAAAGAGCTGAGTGTCAACGCTCTTGCAGAGACACTGAATCTCAGCGCTGTCAGGCGGCAATGCACCATCCCCATTCTTCAATGCCGTGAAGGACGACCGATAAATGCTAACTCTCCAGCACTGTCGCAGACTTCTGCCATCTTCAGCTATTTTCTCAATTAAATATCTCAAAGTCCTCGTTGAACTTCCATCTAATAAGGTTGCAGAGGAGAGAGTTACTTTACCATGCTGATCCCATCACTCTTCTTCCTCATTCGCTTTTTTATCAACTCTTTGCTTCCTCTGAGATCTTCCCGTTCGCTGTTTTTTATAATATCATCTAGCTTGACTCTACGCAGAACCTCAGTTTCCAGGTGAACTTCTCGTAGTCACTGTTGCAGATGTTTTACAGGCTCCAGGTCTCTGTTCGAAATGCCCACTTGGGACACCGCGTCGTTAAGTACCTACCTTTCGTCGTTGTCTACGATTTGTCATGCAAAGTGCCTCCCTCTCAATTTTTTTACTCGAAGGCCAGCTTGGTCCGTACTAGTCTGTGGTCACTGCCAATATCAGCCAATGTCAAATGATGTGCTCGATTCGGTCTCGTTCTTCGACGACGGTCTAGGCGCAATCCGTATCCAACTTCTGCTGTCCTCATTTTGAACCAAGTGTGTTGCTTTTCTATAGACGTCCCGATCCTGCCTTGATCACCAGCCCCTCTCCTCGCTTATTATGCTCTCAGGTGCCGTGCCTACTGACCACCGTTGCACAGACGTTTCCTCGTCCGACCTTGGCACTGAAGTCACCCATAACGAGGACATACGTAGACTTTGAGACCAATGCCTGTTCCAATCCCTGACATAACTTTTCAATTACATCCTCGTCAGCTGTAATTGTGGAAGTATAGGTTTAAACCATCTTCAAGGTCCTCTTCTTGTTCATCTGCAGGCACAGCATTCCCAGTCTGGATGAATTCACATGGCAAGAGACGATTCTGGAGGACCAGCCTCTGCTGGTCATAAATCTGATTCCGATTACGGCATTCAAGCCCTTCCTAGCTAAATCGAACTACCGTCTTTCAAGATGCCATTCATGTCCTTCCACTAGTCTCTCAGAGGCCAAGGATGTCGCAAGCCATCTTCGACGCTTTCTCCTTTGAACGATTTAATGTTTTTCCCTTGCCCGTTTCTTCCTTTTGTAGGTACAAATGTCAAAGGGAAGTTCTCAGTCGGTTATCAAATGGCGACCTATTACCTGGGATTCTTAGCAGCCTCTCGTCGGTCGAACATTGAAACACTACTGTGGAACAGTTCGAAAGACAGATGCAGGGTAATGAAGGCAATTTTAATCCAGTCATCATAGCACTTCAAACATTTTCACGCACTAGCAGCGCTGATTGTGGCTCACGGAATTTCCTACAGACCAGTTCCTCAATTCCATTCTGTTAATTTAAAGACGTTGTCTCTTCTAACCTCCGAGAACAGTCGTCTAACCGCAAAGCCGCGGTAATATTGACGGCATCTCAAAGGGCGGGTTTCTTCCGGCTTGACATGAGACTGTCATTGTAGATTGTGACTGACTTTTCCCCTTAAGATCGAACTTGTCGAGCTCTAACTCATCGAAAACCTGGTGGCCTCACCGCTAGGGTGTCTTGCAACTTCATGCCACCATGCCTCAAGATTAGTATATGATTCACTGACATGTGTTAATTACAATAGACAACTGAAGCTTAGAAATTGAGGCAGTAATTTAACAATTAATTAATGCATAAACTTATCCTTCATAGCTGTGTTTGTTGAGATCATTAGCTTAAGCCATTTGCACAAGGAGAAATGCTGATTTGTAACGCACCATGCATTAACAGTTTAACAACACTTTTGTTCTAGGACACCGAATACAGCCACCTAGAAGGAAAAATTCATCATTGAAAGCTGGCCTGTTTCAACCTTGTTCCCACATGTTGCATCGTATAGTGCATAGCGTAATGTAAGTAAAGCATATTTCGCAGTTACACTACTGTATACGATAAGAAATTAAAATATTCATGAAACATCATGCAACAGACAAGATATTTAAAGCATTTTGTTCATGCGTTAGTAGTTATACTGAAATACAGCCAATTCTAAAGATTTACACATAAGACAATGAAATGGACTATCAAGTGACGGTTGGAGAATCACATCCTAGCTAAATAACAACCCTCAACCTCATTTAGAAGAATACCCATAACGTATTATCATATTCGTCGATATTGATCAATCGGGTATTCAAATGTCAATATGTAAAGTTTAAAACCGTTTGGTGCCATACATAAGCTTATAAACCACCGCTGCCTACAATGACATATCACGCGACATGTTCTTCAAAAAATTAGATTCCGCGGAAAAGACGATCTGGCAAAGGAGGTGCGTGACAACATGACGGCAAGAATTTGTTAAAGACAAAAATGAATCTGAATATTAAGCGAAAATTCCACTATCAGCCCATCTGACTGCCTATTCGTACCTGATCACTTTGATTTCCTTCTGCAAGACGGCTTCACCAAGTTCAATGACACCTGTGCTCGATTCGACGCAGAGGTTAGGCATGTACCGGAAAAGTGCGCCAAGTTTAGTTGTCCAGCTACAACCAAATAAGAACCATTTTAAACAGCTTATCGAAGTTTACGATTAATTCATGATAATCAAACAAACAGAATAAAATTATTAAGCTAATTCCGCCACTCCTAGTTCCAAGCCCAGTTGACAAAGGAGGGTTGGAGACCGTGGCGAAATCGTAAAATTTAGCAACCTGCCACTCATGGTATTGACGCTATCAAAAATTGTACCGGCTCGGTAGCTGTCCGGTTACCAACGACCGGTAAGGCTGTATGGGGACTGCGCAGACTGCGAAAAGTCTGAAATTAGAACTTCCTCACCGCCTTGTAGCAGCCGGAGGAGTAGCAGCACAACAACAGCTGTCGGAAACCGACAGAACAATGACGAAGATACCAGTCAGCAACGGAGTCGCTATCCGTTGTGAACGGAGCAGACAGACAGCGCGATGCCAGTATAGCACGTCAGAAAAGGTTCCACGACAACGACACCGACAGTGGGACTTTACAGTCGGAAATTGGAATATATCCTCAATCAGAACAAATGAGCATGACATAGTTTATGAGGCCATAAAGAACCAACTCCACATTGTTGGATTCTAGTCAACAAAGCACAAAGGCTCTGGACACCAGAACTTCAGCGGTGGAAGCTATTATACCCAGGCGTCGATATCACGACAAGCGTTCAGGCCGGCGTTGGCGTTCTGGTAGAACCCAACCTCGCAAACAGAATTACTGATTGGAAGCCTATCAGCGGAAGGGTGGCAATCCTCTGACAGAAGCTACAGCAGGCTAAATCGATGACCTTGGTACAGGTCTATGCGCCCAATTTGAAGGAGAATACGAGACCTTCCTTGAGAAAGTGCAGTTTACTCTGTCCGAAGTGCCGAATACAGACTCCCTCATACTGATGGGCGATTTTAATGCACACGTCGGAGCAGACGTTGAAAAGTGGAACGGCATGATTGGGAAAAACGGCCCTAGCGGCCCCAACAATAACGGCAAGAAGTTATTGGGGTTTTGTGCAAACAATGGATTGTCCATTGTGAACACCTTCTTCGAGCATCGAAAAGTACATCAGCATACTTGGTACCGGGAAGGTTGTGCACAGAAGTCGGTGATCGATTTCATAACCGTATCGTCTGACTTAACACGCTCACGCTCAGTAATGGATGTTCGCGTTAAGAGAGGCGCAGATCAACCGATCACCACCTTGTTGTTATCATGCTGCACTGTAAGAAACAGAGTACCATACGAAGATCCGGTGGCGGAAGCAACCGGAGAATCCATTGGGAAACATTGTCTTCGGTGGACACGAGAGCGAAATACTCAAACAACATCGCAAGACGGTTTCAACAGATCCCAGCGATGACAACCGATGTGGAAACCGAGTGGCAGCTCTTTCAGAGCGGCACACTCCAGGGTGCCGTCGAATGCTGCGGATATAAACGAGTTGGCCTGCCGCCTGGAGGTCAGAAAAGAACTTCATGGTGGACACGAGAGGTACAGATGGCGGTTAAAGAGAATAAAGCAGCGTTCAAGAAATGGCTTG